GACCATTTCTGGCCGGCAACTTTCAGCGTCATTAAGCCCCTGCGCCACCGCGTCCCCTGCTTTAAGGATAGGAAACCCCAATTCTTGCCCATAACTGTGTGTTTGGGTCATTAACCTAATTCTGGACAGCCACAGATCTTAAAAGATTTTCAACAGTGAAAGATTCAGATTAGGCTAGTAAGGTTGGAGGAAGACTTCAGGAGGCAGATCCTAAGAACGTAGGCTGAAAAGCCCGGGCACATGTTGCACCTGAGTAAGCCCCTGGTCAACTCAGAGGCTCCTCGACTCTGGCCTGACATCTCAATAGACTTGTAACCAAGAGCGTTTGTGAGAAGGGCCAGATGGTGCAAGGACACCCTCCTAGGAGTCTCCTTCCGCCCCACCTCTGAACGGAAACCTTGTCACTGCGTCCCATACCTGCCTTTGAAGAAAGCCACGTAGAAGGGAGATGAATAGAAGTTCACAAACTGGAAAATGAACACTTTGAAGGTGAAGGCATCCTCGTGCTGCGTTTGAGTCCGGTGCATTTCTAGGAGGGGAAGCAGAGAGTTAAATGAGGACAGTCAGGTCAGTAGAGGATGCAAATGGTCGGGGCAAGAGTTCTGATATGCTACTTTTCCAGCAAAAAGGAAGCACGGTAGCCAGCAGCCAGTGTTTTTTTCACAATTGTCCCAGATGATGTCAGAGAGGGTTTTGAGTTTCCTAAAAGTGAAGCCTCCTGGGCTAATTGACCACCTGTGGCCGATTCATCAAAGAGCAGGAACGACTAAAGTCTTCTACTCACCCCATCGCGTAAGCTTCTCAGCCAGGGAGGTATATACTTGGCTCATGAGCAGGATCAGCACCAGGTTCACCATGGAACTGCTGATGTTTGCAATGTTACCTGCCTGTAGGGAACAGGAAGAAGCGGCTGAACTGTACCAGCCCCTCCCCTCAACAGCTCTCCTCTTCCTCAAGTCCTTTGAGCTTCCCTAAAGTTTAATTTCCACCACAGCTTGAAATTCTCGAGAGCGCATAGGTATAAAGATGCATAAATGGAACGGCTGAAGGTTAAAGCACAAAGAGCCCAAGTGCTTTCAAGATCGTGTTTACACAGAAAGTAATTTCAGATTACCATGGCCACCAACCAGGTTGGAAGGCAGGTGAAGGCCTGTCTTCGTAGCACTGCTGTTGCTACCTCCTGGCCTTTACTGAGTAGTAGAAAACCAAGTTCTGCCTTCACTTACTCTTTCTGCACAAGTACAAAGGCTAGAGGAACTGCCCTTGTTTCTGTTTTCTGTGAAATCCTAAATTCAGGGGAAGGATGTGGAATATCTCTGGGGAGGACCAAAGGAAGCTTTCGTAGGTCTCTTACCGAGGGCAGAATCCAGGCACAACCAACGGCGCATCTCTCACCTGGGTCATCAAAACTCTGTTCCCGGTGTGGTACATTGCGGTGCTTACAATCCCACGGTACATGATCACTGACACCAGAAAGATCATCACAACACAGAGCTATTGGAGGAAGAGGAGGAACCAGGACACGAAGGGAGCGTCAGCCTGGGCCGGGAGTCTCCGTCTCCTCTCCCCGCCCTCGCTCGGTCCCTCACCATGATGACGATAGCCATGGATCCGGTCAGGATTCGTGACAGCCGGTCCTGCTCAGGGAAATGGGGCTCCTTCACCCCTGTGACGGGGTTCTGTTCCAGGCAAGGGGCCATAGCAGCAAACTCTGGGCGAGGGCGTTCCTGGGAGCGCGGGAAAGAGAGCGGGAGAGGAAAGGGAAGGGAAGAAAAATCAGGGTTGGGATGCGCTCCTAAACAGGGAATCACCTCGTTGAGCTCAACAGGAGGGTTTTTTTGCTTTGCTTTGTTTTTCGTGCCTTCGAGTCAGCTTTGACTCCTGGCGAGCGCCTGGACAGGTCTCTGCGGTTTCCTCGGCAGGTTTTCGGACGTGGTTTGCCCTTGCCTTCTTCCCAGGGCTGCGAGAGAGTGACTGGCCCAAGGTGGGACTAAACTCACGGTCCCCCGGCTTCTAGCCTGGTGCCTTAATCCCTACGCTCTCAGTAGGAGTTACTTCCAGTTAAATTAGGACGATGACCTCCACCTGGTATTATTACGGGTTGATTTACGATGGGTATCCTTCCCTGTATTGTGCTGTTTTACTTGAGTTAGCAGTGGCTGAATTCGATGCCTTTCAGCAAGGCAACGTTTAGTTGAGCAGAATTACAGCTTCACTGGCTGAGTCAATCTCTTACACTCTTTTGTAAGCGCCTCTGGGAACGCCTGCTGGCCATCAGAAGACAGAACGTGAGACTTCATGGGAGCTTTCCTAACGCTAATGACTGGCTTGTGTGTGTTCGGCTTGCTGGCACCAATTGGTTTCCATTGGTGTCTGCAGAACCTGGACCGAGCAGGCTTCCTCGCGCAGCAGGGGGAAGGGGTTACGCCCCCTGCCAGCTTGCTTGACGCTTAGTGGCGGGTGGGGCAGTGGGAAATGGGTGGAAAGAGAGCCCTTGCCTCCTCCTCTTGGAAGTCCACGCAGTCCCAGTGGTGAGCCAGGGTGGCGTTTTTCCGCTTCCAGTACTCCAGGAAAGTGACCGCCCAGAAGGACATGAAGATGCTGAAGAAAACTGTCCCGGGATGGTCAAAAAGGTACCCAACCTGAGGACACAGAAAAACAACATACTTTGGAAAAATTCTCCCGGGCCGGAGGACTTGCAAGCGCAGAGCTGGTAACCTCCCATCTTTTCCATTCCCGAGGGAAGAGCAAATTTGTCCTTGGGGGATCTATCCTGCTTTTAACTACAACCCAGGATTCACCAAAAGGGATCTCATTCAAAAGTCATACAGTTAGAACGAATGAATTCTGAGCCCAGGAATTTGGATATTAGAACTGGTTTACCCTCTTGTTCCAGTGAACTCAGGTCCCCCAAAATAGAGCTGTTGTCCTTCGGAATACTAAATGAATGAATGAGGAGTGAACACATAAAAAAAAAAAATGCTGCTAATATAGTTGGACAGTTGTTCCCATTTTACACATGGAGGAACTGAGGTGTCCAGGAGCCGACTGCACCTGCACCGGAGACTGAAAATGACTTCCGTATGCCCGTCTTGGGAGCCGGTGGATCTAAGCTCTTCTCCCTACCTCTCCGTAAGGAGGTGGCTAATTTGTGAGAGGACATGGCAACCCCTGTTCCCCCTCCAGCACTCTCCAATTAAGCACCACCCAGGAAGCTGTGGGAAGCCGCCTCGCCTTTGCCATGGGGCAGATCTCAGAGATGTTCCAGTTGCCGCAAGTATCACAAAGGGGGCACATGAGGAATTGCCCCCCACTGTTGCAGATCTCTTGCCTGGAAAGGGTGGAAAAAGACAAGGGTTACCGGGTTTGGAGGAAACAGCCCTTGCGCGTGGGGATTCTGCTTCCCAGTGCCCTGCTTAATAGGAGTGCTAGATTCTTACAACCCCCACTGAGGGGGCCTGTCTAGTTCCGGATTCTGCTCTCAGTGAGATCCCTCCAGGAGGACCACCGGCAGCACATATTTATGCCCTGGTATTCAGAGATAGTCTGCCCTTAAACCTGGAGGCTACATTTGGCAATCTTGGCTTGCATGACAGTAGATAGAGGTACGTCACTTAAATAATGTAGGAAGAACTTTTTCATTGGGCCAGGATCCTTTCAGCACACCATCCTGCTCCCACCCAGTGGCCAGCAGATACAGTGGGGCATGAAAGGGCTTTGGCCGTGCGCGAGGGCAGGCTTGAGGCATGGACCCTATTTCCCTGCTAGGAAGAGCTTCGTCAACCCCTGTTGTCAGTGTTGTATGGACAGAAAGGTGCTGTATAAATTCACTAAATAAGTTCTCACGCTTGAAAAGGATGTAGGCGTGTGGCAGGAGAAAGCTGTTACTCCTGGATTTCCACAGGCTGCTATGTCCTGTCCTCCCCCCCACCCCAGTGCCCAACGTTCTTCCGCACTCACGCCGGCATGTTCGTATCTAGGGTGAAGAGGCCTGCCAGGAATACAAAACTCCCAACAGCTGCAGCTGGGATCAGCCAGGCTGTGTAGAAGCCTGCAAAGAAGAGAGTCAGGGTCAGAAGGGACCACCCTAACCTCTTCCCCATCTAGAGGGTTTGCCAGTCCATCCCACGAACGTGATTTCCAAAGCAGAGCAGTTTTGGAATCTTCATGGATGGCCCTAGCTCAGAGAATGCTAAATAATTTCAGAGATTGAAATCACTTAACACATGTGAGCCCTTTGTTCAGGCCAGGGCTCACACACTTGAGCCCGTGAGCTTATGCAAAGGTCACGGCTTGCCAC